GTCTTATGCTTTATAAAAATATGTTAATTTATTAAGAAAACATATGTCTATCTAATTATTAGGCACAACTAAAAATCAATGTATATCACCAATATCATCTTTTAATGGTTACTAGTACAACACCCGTGTATTACACGGGTGCTTGCTAATTCTTTTTTTTTTTTTCTTAAAATCTAAAATTAATGAGAAAAAGTAGTTTGAAAATTTAAATACTTTTTATAAGAATATATATATTATTATATATTTATTATGACACTTTTTATTTGTGCAACTTACCTGTGTTATATTTTACTTTTTTTTTAAATTACAATATATAACTACATTACATATAAATATATGAATTGAGAAATAATTTTATTTTTCTTATGAATTTTAATAAATATTATTATTTTTTATTATTATAAAGATAAATATAATTTATTTATTTCATATATACAATATGGATGTCAAATCGAAGATCATCAAAAGATGATTAATTTGATATATTATATATGTAAAACCGTAAGAAATACAAAAGTTATCAACTTTTAAAATACATTTATAATTCAATAGCTTATTGAGGGAAACAAATCAAAATTCAAGGATATATTAGTCACTTAGTGCTCACTATGTAAAATTACAAAGAATTAAAGGGTTATATTAGTAAAAGTGATATTAAAATAGCTAAATTAGCTAAATAATATTTATGGAATACCCGAACCTAGATTATTAATTATTAATATGTCAATATTATTTATCCAAACCTAATTACGAAGCATGATTTTTCGCCAAATAGGATTTTGAAGCACCAGAAACAGCCACGTAGGCTCAGCGCATTCGAGAATTATATATAGGGAGGATATCTAGGTTGGCATTTTTTAACCGAAAACCAAAAAGCTAACCGAACCAAACTGAACCGATGAGAAAATAAAACGAACCGTACCGAGCTACTTATAACAGTAACCGGTTACCGAATCACTATCGGTACGGTATCGGTTTGAACCATAAGAGTTCAGTAAAACCGATACTGAACCGATAAGGGTAAAAAAGTTAAAACAAATATTTTTTTTAAATATTAAAACAAGGATTAGTTAGTTGTTTAGTGTTCAAAAATTGAAATAAGGGTTCAGCCCTACCTAAATCTCAAAATGACGAGAAAAATATCACAACTCATCGCCTCATTCACCTTCTAATCGAAACATTGTCGGTTTACCAGTCTCACTCCTTCTAAAGAAAATGCTACCATTACTGTAGTCTTGAAGTCGTATCACAAATTTTATTTTTTGCTTGTTAGCAATACATTATTTTATTAATTGTGTTTACCACAAAAACCATAATCTAATTATATTTAAACTAACTTCTATATAATAAATTTAAACATTTTAATTTTTCAATAGATTTGTGAGTCTTTTGTGTGAAAAATTACAAAAATGACGAGAAAAGTAAACATTAGCTTTTTTTTTTGTATCACAAAGCTAGTGTTTACTTTTCTCGTCATTTTTAATTTTGCATTCCAAGGTTACTGACATTGTCAGTACGGTATCGGTATATGCTTATCGGTTCGGTAACCGAACCGATACCACCCCTAGTTATATCCATAATAGGAAAATCATGCAAACATACTTATATTTTTTGGCCAAATTACACATGGTGAATTAGTTAAAAGCATAACTACTTAGCTTAAATTCAAAATTGGCCCCATGACTACAATCTTAAGATCCGAGATGAAGAAATACTCAAAATATCCTAGATCACACTCTTATCCTAAAGTTATACTTTATATGATTAAATTTATCATGCCTTTAAAAGTTACACAACTAATAATTATTGATAACACTACTTTTAGACAGTTATATTTTTTAAATTGTTATGCATACTTTTAACTGAAATGTCATACTTCAAAAAAACAACATAAACAAAATCATGGCATTTCATGACATAGATATGCATTTTTGTTAAAATTGATTGCCGATCGACTCGTCAAACGGTTAGACAGTTTCACAAAAAAAAATTATGATATAGACTAATGTTAGAACGTAATTCAGCAGCCGGATCAATTGCAAGATTAAGAAATATTAGAGCTAAAAAATGTGCAAACATTTAAAAGTTACAAGATAGAAATAGCTAGCATGTAATTCTTAATGATTTTTCAAAAAAATAACTTCAGAAAATGAAATAACTATTGATAATCATACCAAGATAATGTTACACTAACAAAACGTGAGATAGAATAATAATAATAATAATAACAATAATAATAATAATAATAATAATAATAATAATTAAAATAAAAACCCTAACATTATTAGTCTGCATAAATCTGCAACCCTATGAACTATAAATAACACACTGGAGGATTTTTTTGTTTAAACACGCCTCTTCCAAAAAAGGTAATAAAGTCTCATTTTTATATGTTCATAGTTTGAGCTACAGCACAGAGAATCTTTCTTTAAATATAACTTGTACCTTAAATAGTTTTTGGAATTGAGAAAAAGCTGTGAAAGATAATAAGATGGTGGATAAATCTGAGTACTATAATAAAAAAAAAAAAATTAAAATAAGATTTGCACAGTGATATATTGGTATCTTCACAACATAATTGCGCATTGGAATATTATAAATAAAATCCGTACAAAAAATGTTAATTTTCTTGCCAATAATATAAAGATTCTCTAAGTGTGATGCAAAAAGGGGACAAATTAAGGGCATGGCCTCTTGAATAAAGACAGTGAAAATTTAAAAAATGCTTCACCATTAACCTTCTTGACAACTGTCTTTTTATGCCTAAATAACTTGGTAATAAATACACTTGCTTAATAGTTTCAAAACAAAGTTTTGAATAATAGTAAAAAGCCTTTATGTTAATTAGACTTTTCTTAATGTCGTACTTTTTCAACACATATGCATACTTCAAATTGAAATGTCACGATCTAAAAAAACACATAAATATATATATACATTTTCGCTAAACAAATACGACGAGTCGATAAGCCTAACGATTAGGCCGTTTCATACAAGAATTTGTGTTTTTGAATTTTCGGTTGTAATTTAGGCCAAACCTAGCTCTACTACACTAAAAGCTTCAATATTTGCTTTACTTGAGTTCTATTTGTGTTACTTAGTATTGACTTTGAGCATTTCGATTCAATCTCATAACCCTAACAGTTTTAATTAGGTGAGCAGTAGGTAGCTAGAGTCTTGAAAAATGTATGGTAGGAGCCCAGAGTTATATATATGAGATAATCTATTTAATTGCTTATCAATCCCCAGAGTTTTCAGTCAAATAAATTTTTTTCTTCTCTTTTCATTATTAGAGTGGGAATAATTAGTACTACATGAAATGAAATGAAATGAAATGAACTAGATTAATTCAAACACCTAATTATTTTATAATTGCCTAATAAAGTCATCAATTTTTTTTATATATTTTTTTGAAAACTAATAAATTTGCACTGGGTATCATTTTCAGAACAAAGGGTATGTAGGTTTTTATGATATAACCATTTATGGGTTTTCAAAAGGGTCTATTCAGATGAGCAGTACACACACACACCTCTGAAATTCAACAAACCAACTAAATATATAAATAAAAACAGAAACAAAATAAGAAAGTCTACTCATCATGGCTAGATTCAGGCTCAAGAAATCAAGAACCAAATCCCATAATAATATGACCAGAAATGAAAGGATCTTGAATTTCAAGCAAGGCCCATATGAAAACCTAATTTCACAATTATTCATAATCAGAATCTTAAACAATAATGATCCACTTCACAGAGAGCCATAATCAAACCAAAAAAAGAAAAAAGCTACATCTTTTATGCAAAACACTAAGAACAATCAACAGAGATAGGAAAAATATGAAAAATCAAGAATTAGTAAAGTATGTGTTTTATTTATTTATTTATTTATTTATTTATTTGTTTCTTACCTGGAGCTAGCAAATTCATAGAGCTTGCCTCTAGGAGAAAAGATTATGAGTGCCACCTCAGCATCACAAAGGACTGAGAGCTCAAAGGCCTTCTTTAGCAGACCATTTCTCCTCTTTGAGAAGGTGACTTGCCTGCTTGTGGCGTTTTCTATACGCCTCATCTGGGTTTTTCCTCTCACCATTTTCACACTTTTTTTTTTTCTGAAATCTAAAAAGAGATTAATTATTATATGTATGTGAAAATCTGGGTTGAAGACAAAATATAATTTGTGGGTTTGTTAGAAAATGAAAAGAAAAGTAGAAAAGATTGAAACTTTATTGTGTATAACTTGTGGGATTAAGGAATATGTAAGGAAAAAGCAGCAAAGATTGAAACTTTATTGTGTACCTGTGATCAGCAAGAAGATGAATCTTTGCCAAAACCAAGTGATTGATGTAAAATAAAAAAGAAGCAAGAAGCAAGTATGTATGTATATATATATATATATAAGTACAGAGATAAAGAGAGATTGGTTAAAAGAAGGATTTGCTAGCAAATATGGAAAATACCCAGAGAAGCTTTATGGTTGGATGTGAGATGTGAAATGGGCCTAAAAAAGGGAAGAAACAAATGTGATATATGTGTGTGTTTTTGAGAGAGGACAAAATAGGAGAAAAGAGATCAAGAAAAATGAAAAACCCA